TCATTGACTTAACATCATCACCATCAAAGACAACAACATCAGTGTTAGCACTGATGCTTCACTGCCGTACAACCATGAGGTTCGTTTATATATATATGTATATATATATATATATATATATATATATATACATATATATATAAACGAACCTCATGGTTGTACGGCAGTGAAGCATCAGTGCTAACACTGATGTTGTTGTCTTTGATGGTGATGATGTTAAGTCAATGATGTCATGCTAATTGCTGTGCACTTTTCGTGAGACCACACAGCAGATATTTTGGAGAACGGACCGCGGGCACAAACAGTAGGGCGCTGCTGGAGCTGAAGACATAATGCTGGTCTAGCGGTTGGTGGCCGGCTTTCGGTTTGTTGATAGACCTGTCAGGAAGCATTTAATTATTCCTCTGAGGCAGTATGAATCAACTCACTGGACTGAAACATCAGTCGTTCCTGTTCGTTTAATCAGGACCTCAACGGTCATTTTATCTCGGTTATGAGCCTGAAATTCCCACAGAATGCTCAACCGGCGCTTGCTTGGCCATGTGCTCCGTATGCCAGTGGACTGACTTCCTCGAAGAGTTCATTTCGCGCAACCACATAAAGGGGAAAACGGGCCACCGGCGCTTGGCCATGTGCTCCGTATGCCAGTGGACTGACTTCCTCGAAGAGTTCATTTCGCGCAACCACATAAAGGGGAAAACGGGCCAGGGGAAGTGAACGAAGTATAAATACCATTGCCGGTCAACCCACGGCGGTGGTCACCGCTGTCTTCTTGGATGGGGACCCCAAGACGGGCCACATTAATGGTTAGAGACACCGTTAGACATGGTCCAGTCGCGTCCTCAATGGTGCCCGTGCATATAAGCCACTGCCTTCAACATGTTCTCCGCAACTGAGAGTACTGTATTTACGAAGCGATTTATCAGCTCCCGCCTGCAATTCGTAGCTACCTACCCCACCGCCTAAATCATCGAACGAAACCGTGGTAGCTACAACCATTGTACAACGAGTACGCAGTTATTACAGCTGATAATGACTACAGAGAAGCTAAACCGCCTGGGTGCTTCCCGTAAATTGAAACAGTCAGCTGCCGGATTGCCCAATCTTCAAAACGGGCACTTCAGATAACAATATTGGATTTTTGGGATCCATCACCGACCCCTTACTATACCAAACCCTTGAATACCAGATGCCACTCTACACCTTTTCCACTATTGTTCAGCGGAATTTGTTGGACAGAAGACAGTTACTTAATATCCCTTGCCGAAATACCAAGACCAACTTAGTAGTGAGAGTGCTCAAGAGATCATCACGTAAACTGTGACATAGCAGTTGAAACAGCAGGGCAAGATCCTGAACTATGTTAACGAAAACGACTTATCCGAAATCGGAGTTTGCCTTGACGATACGACACTTTACGATCAAGCCACCTCCCCACTTTAAATGCAATCTGAACTGTTCGTTTTGACCATTTTGACCGTAGAACATGAACTGACGTGATAAGAGGCGTGGAAACGTCCGATTAAAAAATCACTTAAGGAAGACGAATTAGGGTAAAGGCTTATTTGGAAAAAGCCACTTTCTTTTCTACGAGAACCATTCACAAACAAGGAAAAGTTTTTGCACTCCTTGGGGGTTTCTTACATAAGGGTTAAATGTACTAGGATCACGGACGTCAATGATGAACGAACACTGATCGTTACTGGGGCAGAATGCTTGTCTTTATCGATACCCTTCGTCCATAATCTAGTTGATAAATCGTAATAAACAGCCCATTCATAGCGCCTTATCTAAGAAGCCTCGAACTTATTTGAGGTGTTAAGAGCGGAACTGCAACCGGAGCAACTGCATTCGAAAAAGAAACCTCCCAAATCCACTTAGGTAAAAATAACTTCTGAACTCCTGTTGTGAGATACAATAGGAAACAATCACGCGGAACTCCGTTGCTAGCAGGTTCCTCCCTCTTTATCTGGCGTGAAAACAGTCGACCACTAATAGGGAATATGAATTGAAAAGGTGTACGGATCCCCATGGATTGAGCGGTTTACGCCAAAGCCTCTTCGATTTATGCACCTCTTTTACAGATACCTAAGCTCTGAGCAGCGCTGCACGGCATTAGCTCAGCACACACCTGAATGTGCTTGGAAACCTTCACAAAAGGGAATTCAAACGCATCTGTCATCTGACCTCCACAATGGGCGCATCCATTGAATTTCATCGGTGACTCGATCATTGTGTACCGGACCCCCCATCACAACAATCAGCTAAAGCACTCAAGTTAAAATCGTCTGGAGTTTGCTTAAATCACACGCTGCTGTTGCTGAGGCCTCTGGTTGTGAGCACGTCGTTTTTGTGACGCTTTGTCCCTTCACCCGGTTATTTTTAAGGGGCCACACGATGTGCGCGTTCGACACATACGTTCTCGTATGGTAGGAATTGCTAACAGCCATTGCGTGTGTGGATTTCTCCTCGTCTTTTCGTATACTGAGCACTTTTATGCTAATAATTCTGCAACGGATTTTGACTAGCGAAAATTACGACCCAAAGCCTTGTTGGGTATCCTTGACGGAGTTTTGCTCACTGTATACTCAAGTGATCGTGACAATAAAAGGTATTCAACGAAACACAAGAGAACGAATCTAAACGACAATTATAGGGAAGCTGCTACTTATTCAACAGCTCGTGTGAATTTAACCGTTTCTGAAAAGACTAGTGTTTCCGCAAATGAGACCAACCGAAAATAGCCATGGATATTCAACAAGCAAATCTAAATATTATGTTTGGCGACAGAGAAACGTAGAAGACAGTTTTTTCTTCCAAAATACTCAACTTTCTTACCTCAATCACGTTTGGTGTCCCTCATCATCATCATCGACAGCATGACATCAGTGTTCAACACCGATGCTTCAGTGCCGTATTGGTGTCCCTACCATTATTTATAGTCAGTTATATTCAGTCCAACTACGCCGACTAACGTGGTGTCATGACACCACTCTGTTGCATGTTCCCCAAACGATGAACCTGAATGGTTCCCTTGAGTCCCGACTTCCTATTTACGCACATTCGTATTCAAATGTTCGACGCCTTGATCTTATGAAGTACTTAGGAAATGATTTTGTGCCACACAAAAGTGCAGTATTTTCCATAACCTATTCCTCCCAGTCGCGGACTATCATTTCGATGCTCCACGGACGTTTTCGAATTGACCTTTTGACGATCTGCAGGCCTCTTGTTTAAGTAGACGCAATAACTTACCTCTTTAAACACTCAGGCTTCAGGCACACAGATCGACAGCCGATTTAAACACCACAGTAATCGGTCCGTTGCGCACAAGCATCGTTAAAGTCGGACCACCTGCGTGGTCGAAGAATAGGCGATGCTCTTTTCCGTCTGCATCATTTGTTATCTCTGCTGGTGAGCTACTCATGGTTGAATAATAGTGCTCGCCGCTTCCAGTCTACTTAGAATCGTGGGATACGCACTGTTGATTATCAACGAGGATAAGTGTAAACACTTAAGCTTAGTGACTGCAAATACATGGTGGTCTCAGTGGGAACTTTGAAATCTCCCCACTATCCAAAAATATCGTGAAATGAGTATGATTCAGTAGATATACATAAAAGACTGAATTCAAACTGAAACCACATGGAGTGACGATAGTTGATATGTGAAATCACCAGAATACGCCCGAACGCTTGGGCATCCGGATTGCCCACATTCGTCGCTTGGCTCCACTGGGAATAAGATTACTAGTCTACAGCTAGTGCACAAGGTATGCACCGCCCCATGGCAACTCGCATTAACAATCGTTCAAAGAGCTTCACGAAATATGACCGTGAATCCTGTGTAATCGGTGCGATTCCTATTCCTCAGCACACCTGTACATCGGTATCATATATGGTCCATGGTATACTGGATCGTGATAAAACTCAAACAGGAGCAAACAAGTAAGTACCAAGTGACGTTTATTCATACTCTGAGAGAAAATAACGACCAAACGATTTCTAGACGATCAGACTGTTTTCATCTGGAATACACGCATACGGCAGGGTATGTGAGGGTAGTTCGTTGAACATCACCGAATTTGGTGCAGTTCCATTTCGGTTTCCTCGGTGGTGAAATCAAGCAATGGAGGGGGCGGGACAAAGGAAACCAGCGTGAGTTAATAGCTTTGTCAGAGGAGGTCGAAAGGGGATGGAGAAGGGGTGATAATGTACATGGTTTGCAATCATTGGGCGACAGGCAAAGAGGGGTGGATTCCATTGAAAGGAAATTAGTCACGCGGAGTGAACAAAACAACAACGACAACGGATAAGAACGGGTGGTGAGAAAGAATCCGGTAGAAAAGCGATAGAAATCCATGTGGGATAAGGATGGACGATGTTAGAGTGATGTTTTGCTACTTGTTCATCAGAGCCACGCTGACCGCTTTGCGTTGTTCATCATTCAGTTGACTGACGCAGGCCTCGACGAGGGATGAATTGGACTGAAGATGGAGTAAATGGAGCGGATTGTTAGTTGACTCCGCTGTAGAACTATTTATAGGACCTATGCTAAAGGTCCAGATTGGACTCGAACCATTCAGTTTCAGAGCCATCCTCCTTTGGGCTACCGGTGCTACAGTTCAGTGCAGCCAACTTGTCAGAATACTAACCAGCAATAGCGTCACAAATGGCAGGAAATCACGATAACTTATTTGAAGAAATTCATGACAGAAAAGGATAAATGCAGAGAATAACAATGATTCGTACTCAGCGGTAACAGAAACCGAGGAATCAAAGCGAAGCTCGACAAGCACGGAAATAGAGTGAAATGAGAGGTGGGTATCATTTAGAATGAGACCATGCAACCAACGGCTAAATGGGGTTTTCAAGGGCTGAATAATGAACTCCATAGCTTGCCGAAATACTCTGCTGAATGCACATCAAGCAAGGTGAAAAAGCTACAAGCGGTAGTTCCGGAAGGTTATCAAGGGTGTGCACCCATAGGACAAGGGCGAGATGGCTTAGTGGTTAGAGCACGAATTCACTGACTGGAAGGTTCGTGGTTCGAACCTGTTACGAAAAACGTCCAAACTGATCTAAGGTGAAGGGGGAAGTTACTCTTGGGAGGGAGTTCTAATGATAATGTACGCACCTCAAATAATGATAGGTATACAATGAAGCTGTTGCTGCGACCCTCCTGCCTTGCCAAGCAAGACGTCGTTCACATGCACGATCACTTCCTACGGCAGTGAATCATCGGTGCTAACTTGTTTGTTCGAGTTAGGGCCTTGACAGTGCCCTCACAGTTGCAGTGACAGTATGGTGGAAATCAGTCAACAGCAGCTGACCGAATTCGTCGTGCGTTGACAACAACTTATCCAGTCTGATAATGGACGCGGTTGAAGAGGAAAGAGGCACCTTTCGGTGCCTCGCTGCCACGCCACCCAAAGGAAGCACGAGGGCTGGGATACTGCCAGGTTGCCAAAGCTTAGACAGCGGAAGTCGAGAAGCGGAGGCCGGATTCGAATCGCAGAACTTCCGGTTAGTAAATTCGGGCCCTAACCGCTGAGCCATTTCACTCTGACTTTTGGGATGCCCAGGTCTCCTTTCCTACGCTGTAGTTAGTAGGAAACGAACATTATTATGACATGATGATAACCTGGAACTACTTAATTTGAGTGCGTGTGATTGAGCGCAAGATATTACTCCCCGTGATAGCAAGGAGCTGACTGATCTGGTAGCGACTGATTCCCCTTTCATTGAGTAACTAACGACGCGGCTAAGTGATGAAATTTGTGAGGACCGTCAACATCGAATGGAGTTGAGTGGAGGCAAACTATTTACCTGTATATGCCGAAGGATGTATACACATCGTTGATAAGCGGACAATTTCTGATCAGGTGGGAAACCATTTTGTTGCGGGTGGTCACCGGAGGCAGGGACAGATTTTGGTTTACTGTCCTCCGTGGCGTCGGAAAGACCACCAGTGGACATAGCTTCCGCAATGGCCTTCACGATGCGTGGTAAATTCGCGTTGTCCGGACCAAGAATTATGCTATTGTTGGCTTCGATGAGATCACATAAGTAACCGTATACGTGTTCCGTTTCAACGGCGTCGTCCCAGACCGGTAGCCAATCAAGCCATCGAGGCAAAAGAGTATCTACTCCACCGACAGACGGTGGGAGGCAGTCAGGCCGGTACTTCATGATCTATAAAAAAAACCAAGATATAGATGGGGTACGGTAAAGCAATCAACAAAACGGAATTCACGAAAGATAAAGCTCACTTTTGTAAGTGTGCTGATTGCATTCTCCGTACATAGGTTATTATCCTCAGATTTGGAGTCCGGAGCCTCAATAATCTGGATCAGGGGAGCAACAAAATCAGGAAGAATGGTATTGTATTCTGGTCCACCATTGATTGCAGCGACACCGATACCGTAAATCGCAGCTTGCCGCACATCTGGCTGTTGATGCTGCACCGCTTGGACGAATGTGGGTAAGAAGAACTGGTGATATTGCCAACTTTGTGTACCACCAAATTCAATCACATCGTCCCACAAGCAAATACCCCACTGGAGATCAGACCATGGTCGGTTGGGTTCCTGGAACATGATAAGCACAATTTTGGCATAGGGAAATAACATGTTGAGATTTCGGCCGATATTACTACGTTCCAAATGAAATAAATAGAGCCACAAGTATCACATTTCTAATGAAGCTTGGTGTAGAAACCGGAAATCGAGAAATCGCTAATTCCACGCAACATACATGTTACAAACTAGTCTGGATTACTGCTTATGAGAGATATTCGTTGCTGTTGTAAATTTAATAGTGAAGGACTACTTAAAATAGGGGAACTGGGCTCAGGACAAGAACCACTGTTTGATATTTTTCATAGCATCGAAGATGGGCACTGTATGAGTGAAGATCGTGTGAATTAGCGCAGCGTAACCCCGCCCGAGCGTTTCCATTCACGATGGCAACAACGCTCAGTGCCAGACCAACAGTGACGACGATCATCATCTGATGAGTATTCTCGAACTTCATCAGCACGTGGTAAAATGAAGGACTTGCTACATTTGCAGCTTAACCAGCACACATAGCCCGCGCTAGTCGTTGGCTTGGAAAGCGGTGCAATGCTCCGGTCTACAGTTTGCCAAATTTATCTACTTATTAGAGTCGGATCCCACACACGTATAGACGTATGCAACAATGGCTAGTAATCACCAACTACGCACAACATGATGCCAGAATATTCGAGTTTAAACAAACTGAAGTGGAAATAATGCAAGTCTCCCAGAAGGTTTTTCCCACTTGCAGCTGCCAACCAACAATGAGCAGAACCCTAACCTTACTACTGATATAAGGGAAGCTTAAGCCGAAACTGCTTTCCTACTGGGCTAGAACGAGTTTCCAAATGGCACCGCAGTGAGATCAAAAGGAGGATAAGTGATGACAAACTAAATTCATTGAGAGTATAAGACTTACAAGAAGTTTGACACAGAAAACAAGCAATTGTTGGAAGAAAGGAAGAGCTTCTTGGCCAAATACGACGAATACGGCATGAACAACATCACACATTTTGGACAAAACATATTCATCTTCATCCTTTTCGGTCAGCAGGCGTTCCTCTTCAATTTCGTCGTAGTCTTCATCCTAAAAGGAAGCACAATCAGGAGCACTGTAGCTAGTGAACTGGATCAAGTGAATGAAAAACAACCGGCCAGACCAAACAGGACACAAACACTTCGAGAATTATTGGAAAAGACAAACTAAAATAGCATCCCCATACGAAGAAGGGATATCCTAGTTTCGGCTACCAACAGCAAAAAATCGACCGACACAAAAGCATGGAGTGTAAATAGTAGTTGCTTCGTCGGAACTTTTTCTTGATGAGAACTTTTGTTCAGAAGCGGAGAACCAAAAGATTCACATTAAGGATAAAATGCAGCAAAAGTTAAGTTACGAGAAGACATGGACGGGACGGGAACTCATCATCGACAGTATGACATCAGTGTTCAACACTGACGCTCCATTGCGGAAACTGAAGGTTAGGAAATTGAAAAACTCGTGTATTCTTGTTAGAGATGAACCAATCCAACGACGATCGTGAGGCATCTCAGTTCACCACGTTCTATATAAGTATTCTTGCGTTCAGCTGTAGCAGCCTTCCGGTGCCTAGCTGCCATGCCACCCAAAGGAAGCACGAGGGCTGGGATACTGCCAGGTTGCCCAAGCCTAGACAGGGGAAGTCGAGTGGCGGAGGTCGGATTTGAACCACGGACCTTCCGGTCAGTAAATTGCGCTCTAACCACTTGGGTCATCTCGCCCCATATAAGTATTCTGGCACAAAACGTATGGAAAACAAAGACAAATCTGAGGACGAAGATGAACCAGAATTGTTAAACGGCAAGACACTAACTAAAAAAGATGCCCACCAACAAACATTGCTCACCTGCCTCTTGGCCAGACGTTCATCGCTCTTCTCAAAATGTTCGTGGAACAGGTGATCCAGAAGGCCCCGAATTTCAGTGAGCTGTTCGTTGGTTATATACGTTTTGCCCACGGCTTCTATGCAACCAGCTAACGACAACAGGTGATCAGCCACAACATCACGTTCCGGCTCGTTTGTGACAGCACGCAGAAGGCTTTTGTGTACACGTGTCCACGCTTGGACAACTGCATCTGGTTGTCGTGCCTTAAGACTTCCCAAAAGGTAAGGGAGACATTCTGCTGCCGCACTCCGCACCTTAAGAGAATAAAAGGAAAGTTGATGGATGATGTACAAGCAAATGATATGAGATCACATACAAAGATCAACATCACACAATGAATATATCAATGAAGTTTGAGTAGAAACACTTTGTTCGCAGTGTTAAGGGCGTCAATGATGTTTGTTTGCACTTGGCTTGGTGTGATCGACGTGGCCCAAGACAGTACATAATGGGACAAGATGACAAGACGACCATAAATATTCAGCCAATCGAGCAAGACTTTGTGTGAGGACCAAACGTTTATCTTTTTTGGCTAAAAGTGCTGAGTTACATCGCCCGTCTACAGTTGACGATTTTCCAACTGCATAGAATGCGCCCGCATCTAGCCCAATAGACATGACGGCCCGGTTGTGCGCAGTTTAAGGTTTATGCGGTTGGGAATGTACCAGGATCTTCCAAAATACGCCTCATAAAAAACGTTCCGACGAGAATTCGAGATGTATCAACAGAAATCTAGGGACGATGCGACGCTAAATCAAAGTGTCCTGACGAATATGCCCGTTGATGATGAAAACAACTTAACTTGAAACGATGAGGCACTCGTTGATGTCAGGACACCAAAGAATGAAAAAGCCCCACATAACAGGAATTAAAAGCAGGTTCCTGGTACCGGTGTACAGTGCGACCAGGTGTTTCACGGTTAAATTTCAGCCCAATTAAAAGAGACAGAAAGCTCCGATGAGATCAGGGCCGAAAATTCCACTAGTGCTGTGAGGTGAGTGATAGTCCCAAATCCAACAATCGTAATCGAGTTGAACAGTTGAGATGAGCCCAGTGGGTGCTCTGGTACCAGGTATTCAAGTGGCTGAGCGAAGTGATTTACAAACATAAGAAATGAAGTAGCATCGAAGCTGATTGGTGCACAACAAATGTGGAAAAAGACTCAAACGAACATGGCACGTTGCAACACTCACTTCGTCATTAAAATAGAAATCCAGAAGAGGGACCATTATTTCGAGCACTTGTTGACAGTAGGGTGCGAAACTTTCCTTCATTTCCCGAGCATAGCAGACGAGCATCTGACAAGCCGTTGCCTTGTCTTCCAGACCACTGGAAACAGTAGATACAAAGTACGTCGTGAAAGGAGCGGCAACGCAGGGCACAGCAATCAGAAATGAAGGCAGTCACAAACATACCTCGTACGGATCGCGTAGTTGCGGTCCTCGCCAAGCTTTACCACCTGCCAGTCAACATCGGACTCAACCGTATCAGCCTCGTCGTTGTCCAAAATACAAATTTCCGGCTTGATACAAGCTGACTTCAATACTTGAGGCATAACCACGGGCAGGTAACTTTCGAAGTCTCGGCCGAGAAGCTTACAAATTCGAGCCCAAGCGCTGATCATGTAGGAGGCCTGTTGGGATGGGATATTGGTCGGCAGAAGAGAATACAGACAACAATGAGACAAGTTAAGTTGGTGAGTCCCGTATATTAGGTTACTGATACGCGAAAAACCGATTCAACTCAAACAGACCTCTCAACCAATGGTTGAGGGGATTCGTTTTAGGGGCCTTGAATCGAGGCTATGGTCAGAAAAGGCTGATGAACTGCTTGTATGAAGAACCACAAGTATGCAAATGGGAACTCGACCTCAATTCTTATAAGTACAAGAAACCAGACCAAACCAATATCGGGCGCGTGAATCTAGCCATATAGAGCCCATCAACCAATAGAACGACTCTCACCTGAGGATCATCGTCATCACCCGCGGCATCCGTATCGTTCTGAATCTGAGTAGCCATCAAGAGGTTCATGACGGGGCCCACATCATGAATGAATTTCTCTTTGCCAACAGCAAGTCCGATAAGACTGATACATTCAATGGTTTTCCCACGCAACAAACGGAGGTCTTTGTGAACAGCGTTCTCCATTATGTACTTTAGAATGGGCATGAACCTGAGGACGAGACAGTTTAAAAACACGTAGTAGGCGAGAAGGAAAACAGGTGGAAATACACCTACGAGAGATAATTAATCCGTTTGAATGATGGCCAGACAAAGGGCTGCCTCTGATGCAACAGAGGGCATAAGTCTCAGATGGAAAGGGGATTTCAACGGCGTGAGAAACACACCATTACCCAAAGGACAGGACACAGAGACCAGCTAATGGATCCAGAGAAACCAAACTGATTGAAACAAGAGAGGAACGCAGTAGCTCAAGCGGATATCCAAAAACGCTTACCGATCATAGTATGGTAAGAATTTTTTTTCTGAAGCATCGGCGACAGACGCGACGGTAGTGACAATCTGAGTCAGTACCAATTTCCGCCCATGTTGAACCATTTCCTGGAATTTGGAGTTCATTATCTGCTCCAGCTTGTTGACCAGACCATCCAGGTAATTCACGAGAATATGCTACAAACAAGGATTAGAAAAGTAAAGATGTAAAGTGCACGAAAAATCGTTGGCGTATGCGATTCCTGCATGAACACTTAATTATGGGTTCAAAAACGCTTCAATAGTGTTCTTCACTCCAGACGAAAGGGACCTAAAGAGCCTAAAGATACGTAAATGAGAATCATCTTAAATTTGTAAAGCGATATTCCGTTAACTGCTGTCTCCTTGATGTTATTGAAACGATCCGGTGGACTAGTGGCGAGGAAATCGCTCCTCAATCTTCATCAATGTCAAATACTAAAGGGTGAGGAGCTTCCATACTACGGTGCGACTTAGGGGTTAACTCACACCAAGACAAGATGTCTATCCCTCAGCCGATCAGCACGGGAACATCGATCCTGACCTCTTTACAGAAGAAAGAGGTAGACGAGGTCGGCCCGAAAAGCCGGTCTGTGATCAATTAAAGATTGACCGTGGAAGCCGGCGACCTTTATATGAAAAACGACTAAAATCTACCAGTGTAACTCTAACTGCATTCGCTGTGTGCAGCAGCAGACGGAATGAGACATCTATGCTTCAGTTTCTGTACTTCCGGGGTTGGCCACTGGCTTACAACCAAAAAAAACCACCCGTTCCGTTATAGGTTCCGGGGTTGCCACCGGCCTAAAACCAAAAAAAACCACCCGTTCCGTTATAGGATCCCGCTGTTTCCAGGTTAGACATCTAAGTCAAGAGCTGAGGAACCTGCCTTATGCGTTAAACTCGTAACTCATCTCTTCCCACCATTTAATTAGCCCGCTTTAGCGTATTCAGTTTTCAGCTACTGAATCATCCAGGAAAAAATGAACATGGCCCGTTTGGAAATTCTAGAGATCAAATGTTTGTATTCCATCGAACTGGACCATAACTAGCCCTTGGTTGAACTTTATTATTTCAGTGATGAAAACGCCTGGAAGGCGGTTCGTATGAAAAACATCAAAGTTCTTCGTAACCGCTTTTTACCAGTCAGGCTTGTCCGCCCACGGGTTTGCGCCACTCTGAGGGAGCCTAGGAGAACACTCGTCTTGGTAGACGATGATTTGACATGTACAGCACATGACCGGGCTACCACAGTTGATGGCGCTAATGTTTTCTGTGACTGGAGTACCTACTGCACAAACGAAAACCAGTTTTCTAATTATCTCGTTACGAATCCATCGACGCCATCCAACACGTTCGAGACCCCTGAGGTAATTTTCGGTAATCCGAAAGTTGGAGATATACTATTTACAGATGCCATATCTTACAACCATACAGTTCCGAGAACTCGTGCAGCACTTTGAAGTCGAGAGCGATTGCAATTGAAAGATAAGACGGCGGTCCGTTATCGACTAAACAGGAACGCCACCCTCAAAATGAAGTCAAATGCAAGTTTCTCAAGTCGAGCTTTCAGTTGCAAATGTACGCACGATAGATTAAGATGCTGAGGAACTTAACCGAAAGAAGACACTGAATACGCTGCGAGGTGAACGTTCATTACACATATCTTTTGCTCCGTTCCTTGGATTACAACCAATCTGATGATGTGAAACCGAGGTTTCCATGTTACTTTGTCGTATGGTGCATGGAGTGTCAGTTAGAACCGGAGAAGCTGTTATTTGAAGAAAATGGACAAAGGAATCTGAAAGGAACGATATAACTTATCTTGTTCTTGGTTCCGGGAGAAAGTGAGCATTTAAAGAAGTTCCTTCTGAATCGCGAATGCCCCTAGACGGGTTGATTTGTCTTGAAATCAAACCAGTTACGAAAAACTGATGAGGCCCTCGGCCTGCCCTTAAAGAATGAAAGTTTCAGTTCCCTGTGAAAATAACGGCGAATACTAAATGCGAACTAAAGAACAGGCGCTGTGCATATTTCGCATCGGAAGTAAACTTCCCTCTTCACTCTAATCCAGTTGTAAGCTCGAAAAGCTGAAGCTGGCAATTAATCGACAGCAATCACTAATCACAGGTTGTTGCCGCTACAGTTTGGTGGAGAATAAGTTAACACGAACCAAGGCATTTACATTCTGCGTTCAGTGTTTTGTAATCAAATTAGACCAAAGTACGGAGCTCAGGATGAACACTGCCGCAAGCTGAAAATCTAACTGACCGTCTGAAGAATCACTAGTAGCCGGATGGTGCTACCTTGTGCCCAAGTGGACAAAATCTTCCAGGGGTTCGACCAACGTGTCTTACAACTGAAGTTAATGTTGGTGCAGAGGGTCAGCAACTCCATTCCGCTCATCAGTTCTCAATCGCTTCCGTCTGAGTAACCCGGTGCCGAGTTTTCTACAGGTTGCCTGGTAGTCACGTCCTTAGAACAGCACGCTTTTGTCCGATTCATTATAGAATCCCACCACTGACAAGCTTTCTCTTGGAAGTAATAAAGGAGAGCTACACAAAAGAGCTACAAAAGGAGTTTACCTGAGGAACTTTCTCGCAAAAGTTGACCAAAGCGGCTCCGGCATTGGCTTGTACACGGGGAACCGCATCGTCAAGCACCTGGACAAGGGCTGGTAGAACAAGAGTGTGGTGAGCCTTTTGCAATTTCGGTCCGAAATCAGAAGCCATCTGACCGACCGAATTGCAAGCAGCATAGCGGACACGAGGATGGGGATCAGCAAGACGGGGAACGACAGCCTCGAGAACAGATCCAAGCATCGTCTCCATTAGTTTACTGCTGCCTTCACTGCAAGCGGAAATGGCCATCAGACCAGCATATCGCTGCTTCCAATCAGCTGTAAAATGAAGTAAAGGCATGCAGATTATAGTGTACAGGAACGATGCGAAATAAGGTGAGACAATAAAAGGTGAACGTAGGAAGGGGTTGGGAAGGGACATCGGTGGACGCTGAACTGGCCGCTGCGCGCCGAGGACGTCAAAAGACTTTCAGTGTTTGACCATCGATGTCTTCGGAGCATTGCCCGAATCTGGTGGGAACACCGGATCAGTAATTCTGAAGTACGTCGAATGGTATTCGGGAGAAA